TTTTTTTTTTTTTTTGCTTTTCTGCTTTAAAATTTCTAGTTCCAGTGGGATGAAATAAGTACTTCCTGTTGCCTGTTGTCATGGTGACTCATTGACTCGGTGCTCAACTGATAATGGCTTTTCATAGTTCTTGCACACATGCTTAACTCTAAGTGGACCTGGTTAAATTGTATTGAACTAATTGATGGCAGCCGTTGTGAAACCGAACACTCAGAGTTCCCGAACTTAGGCTAGATCAATTTAATGTTGCAGATTTGAATCTGGATTTGTTAATCTGCTTTGTAAAACAGACCCATGAAGATAAAAACTGAGAAACAGAGATTTGTCTATTAAAGTTCATAGCTGTGTTTTTCAGTCCTTTATTATTTTGCATTTTAATTCAGTGTTTCTTTGCGCAGTAAAGTTTTTTTTTTTAAATCATCTGATATAGGAAACATTAAGTTTCTGGAAATATCTTCCCAAAGTCTTGACCTCAATTCTGTCTTAAGGTTTTTTATTTTCTTCATATAAATGTTCTTAAAGGTTTATTAGTGACCTGAAACTAAAACACATTAGGAAATTATTTCCTTGTTCTGAAAGATTTGATGATGAAACAAAACATTCAGTTATGATCCCTCAGCGCCATCTGCTGGAGAAAAATGCACACAGCAGAGATAAATCCTATTTATTGAAAATATCACCTGATACTGCAGATTCAAAGCTTCACTGTGTTTGATAAAAAAGATGTTGGTGACTGAGAACTAGAAGAAGCTTTCTATGTTATACTCAGACCTGGAACTTCCAGGCTGGAAGACATCCTACTGCAGGAGTTTGAACGAAAGTAATCGTGATTATTTTCACCATTTCAGAAATATAATGTAGACAGCTTTATTCAGATTGATCAGAACATCCTGGGATTAAATGAAAGTCGGTCTCATCAGATGAACTGGATTTATAGAAAAATAGAGACATTGTTGTTGGAGAAAATCCTCTTGAGTTTTCAGAGACTCCAACAACATATGGGATGGTGATGTTTTTGTGTTTAATCCTCTCACCGTTATGTTCTCCTGCATGTCTTCTGGATTTCATTGCTGATTTGACAAACGCCCAGTTTGGAAATCAACAGGTTTGAAGAGCATCTTTGATGTGTTTCTGTTCTTTGTGTTTCCCTTCTGTTTTAGTAGGGATATGCTGGCCCAGTGTTGTAAGGTATTGACTGAGAGTTTGTGTTCCAATGGGTGGTGCGAGTCAAAAAGAAGATATTGGTCTGAGTGAGTGGATTTCTATAGACTTCAATGTTGAGGTTTCCATCTCCTTCCATGCTCACCAAACAGTCCAGGAAAGGTAGCTTGTTGTTGGCATCCTCTCTGCTGAACTTGATGTTGTGATCAACTGAGTTGATGTGTCTTATAAAAGCTTCAACTGCTTTTGGAAGTGGAAGTAAAATTATGTCTTTAAAGATGTTTGTCTTTCTAAATATATTTGCTTAGTGTCGCGTTGAATGTATAAAATTAGGTTAAAATAGTAAGAAGATCATTATTTTGGTCTGTTTTTATCAAGGATAAGCAAGACAAAGTAAAAAAAAAAAAAAGGTTTTATTCCTTCTGTATAATCCCATCGTTCACCTGTGAAAAATGCTCCAACAGCACCGCCTGCTGGAGACAAAATAAAACTACAGATTGTTTGATTTAAAGCCTGACAAACAGGTTAAATAAACTGAAAGTATTTTCGGACGTATTTCAGACGTATTTTGTGACTCCACCAGAGTCCTGTCCTTCTGGACCCAAACACTGCTAATGGCTGGCTGCATCTGTCTGATGATCTGACCAGTGTGAGACAAGGAGACACAGATCAGCAGCTTCCTGAAAATCCAGAAAGAAACACTAGGTACACCAATGTTTTTGGTTCTGAGGGCTTCAGCTCAGGGAAACACAGCTGGGAGGTGGAGGTTGGAGATCATCCTAGTTGGGGTGTTGGTTTGGTTAAAGAGTCTGTTGACAGGAAGGGAGAGTTATATGTTTCACCTAAATATGGAATCTGGTGTTTAGTAAATGATGATGGTAAATACACTAATGGTGGTGGTCAGACTCTCTCAGTGAAGAAGAGTCTCCAGAGGATTAGAGTCCAGCTGGACTATGACAGGGGGGAGGTGTCCTTCTACGACCCTGAAAACATGTCTCACATCTACACTCACAGAGACACTTTCACTGAGAAACTTTTTCCTCATTTCCATGTCGGAAAAGCTGCTGATGCTAAAACATCTGACCTCAAAATCAGTAAATCTGAGGTTTCTTTATTATTTTTGGACAAGTTAACTTTAAAGTGATGGAAGTTATTTTGAGAAATACTTGTGGTTTTCTTTTTTTATGGCAGAAAATATGTCAAGATGTAAATGTGAATTTAAATGGATTTGATTATAAACCAAAATATAAAACCATCATTTGTTTTGTCAGCAATATCTGAGCAATGAGAGCAGGTAGTTTTTTTTTTTGTTTGTTTGTTTGTTTTTTTCTTGTCTTCTTTATTAGTTTCTTATATTACAATGTTTAGCTCATTTTCAAGGTTTTATTTTATTTTGTTGATTATTTCAGTTCAGTGTTAACCTTTAAAGTTTGTCACAATATACTTTTCTATTATAAGTTCTATTTCTGAAATACATAGAAATTATTTTAGCACTAATATGAAGAAAACAAGCCATTGATTTATTTAAAAAATATTTTCATCTCATCAATGTTTTGTGAATTGTTCAGAAGACGTTTTAGTTTCTACTTAAAGGGATGATAGAATGATTCTATAGGGTATTTGGTGCTGGTCCTTAAAGTCTCTGAATAGGGTGTGTAACATTGGTTGAGTTGAAAATGGAATATTTGCTGTTCTATGAGCCCTAATGCAAGCCTGGTTAAAAGTCCCAGAATGAAACGACAGGTTTTCTTTCACCAAATTCTACCTGTAAAGCAGAGGTTGGAGTCGTCCTAATTGCTCCTGTAATTATTTATAAAGCCGGATGTTGGATAATATCTAGTTATTTTAGTTCTGTTTAAGACGCTGATCCATAAACGATACAACCATAATCAGCAGTAGATCTTTTTTTTTAGAGCTTTTCTGTCTGCCCCCAATTCATATCCAAGTACACATCTCATTATATTCAATATTTGTTTACATTTCTCAATAACCTTTTCAATGTGTATTTTCCAGGTTCATTTTTAATCTAATCAGATCCCTAAGAATCTAAAGAGTTTTATTCTTCCAAGTTTCTGATTATGTATCTTTACTTTTATCCCCTGATTCATTTTTACTTCTATATATTATTTCATTTATCAACTGAGAATTTAAAACCCCATTTATAAGACAATTTTCAATACTGTAAATTGCTTGTACTTTTTTTAACAATATTTAATATTCCTTCAACATTTCCAAACAGCTCCATTATCTGAAAAAACTGCAAAAAAAAACATTACATTTCTTTGAATGCATCATTTATCATAACAGAAAATAATAACGGACTAATTATTCCACCATTTTCTAGCCAATGCTTCCCTGAATAATTCTTACCAACTCTTACTGTTGGGATCTGGAGAAGTCCCACCTTTCTCCAGCAGAGTTCGCCGTGGATCCTCCTGAGCTGAGCCTTCGACACACCTGAGGCGCATCTCATCATCAGAGGATCCTGCAGTATATAACCGGCCTTCAGACCTTGCCTCAACGCCGCAGTGTTTATCCAGTTTGGTTAGCACCTGAGCCTAGCATCTTCTGAGAACCTTCGTTGCTTCTGTTCCCTGGTTGGATTCTAATCCCTCTTTATCTCTGCTTTCAGGAATCCAGTTTCCCTTGTAAGCTCTGGATGAGCTTAACCTGCCGAGCCTGCCCTTTGAGCCAAACCTGAAGACTCTTCTCTGGATTCTCATGCTGCTCTGGACTAAGAGCTGGAAACCCAAAGTCAAGGTCTGCCCTCACGCTAGAAGCAAGACGCTGAAGCGGTTACTGAACTCTGCTGAACTAAACAATCTCTGGACCCAACAGTTCCTCTCTCAAAGCCAAACCCGGACTCCTCAAGGTATAAATCAGAAACTCTCAGATCCAAACTCATCTGCTCACAAGCTAACTGAACTGTCATCCTCACAGACTCCAGTGAACCTGCCCCCAGGCCTGAACCAGTTCCTGTGTTAATTCCATGTGCTTGTGTTCAATAAACTTGTTAAACTTTTCATCTGTTTCCGTGGTGTTCTGCATACTGGGCTTTTCTGAAACCCATCATGACACTTACTTGTATTGCCCAATCTGTTTTAAAAAAAACTATCTTCAGGACAAACACTGCACCATAATCATGCTACTCTGAAGACAGGAAATTCTATTGTAAACTCAAGCAATAAAATAAAAGGATTTTTTTTTAAAAATCAGACAAAGAATTCCTAAATCTTCAAGTGATCCTAAAAACTTTGGAAAACACTGAATGCTCTGATGTGTATAAATAATAAATCTATTCCCAGGTTTGTGGAATGGGAAGGGAGATTCATCACTAGGCCAGCAGAGGGCGCTAACCACTTTAATGATTTCTAACATTTCCTTTTTAAATAAAGTCAGTGGGTTAAGATCTTAGATGAATTAACAGTTAATTCATCTAAGATCTTAACCCGCTGACGTCGCCAAATTTGATCAGTTAATAATTAACTGATCAAATTTGGCGAAATTATAAATGACTTGATGCATAGTAAAACATGCCACTTAAATTAGGAGATGGTGGATTAGAAAATTGTTAAAAGCTTCAGGATCTCTGATGTGTCTCCTGATATTAACAATCTCAATGGAAAGGTGATTAAAGCACCTCTTTATATGTTGGTTAAACCAATATGTCATATTTTTAACTAATCTTTAAGGGGTGAATTATTCGCAGACCTGTGAAAGCAATAGAAATCATTCCTCTTCATAAAGATGGAAACTTACCTTTCAATGAAACTAAATGTAGACTAAATTATTTACTTACTCAACTCAGTAAATTACTTAAAAAAATATACATAATCAAATTATCAAAGAGTTCAGCAAGTGCACTTTACTGCAGGATTATACAGCATCATGCTGTGTATTTCAAGGAAGTTGTATGGGAACACACTTAGTTTCTATATTTATAAATGATTTTCATCTGACAGTTAAACGGCCAGTATAGTCATGGAGGCCTCAGATGTCAAACTGTTAGTCATTAGATTGGAGCAAGCATTGTCTTGGTCTGACCAAATGAACCACATTGTTAATAGATGGGCAGAGTTATGGCTATGGCAAGGAGACTGTCTGCTTATTCTTCAACTCCAGTCCTGAAACCAGTGGTACAGGGCATGGTGCTGTGTCACCTGCATTATTGTTCCATTGTCTGGTCCAACGCTGCTCAGAAGCATTTAAGGAAACTTCAGATTTAAGGAAACTTCAGATTGCTCAGAGCAGAGCAGCTAGAATTGTACTCCAAATGTTTCTTATATATTTGAGTTCACCTTCAGCTTTGACCCACATCCAAACCAAGCAGAGGAACAGACTGGATGTGGAGAACAGCCTGGGATCAGCTGTTTTTCAGACTGATATAGGAGCTCATCAAAACAGCTCAGGTGTCATGATTAAAACAAAGTCAAACTAATAAAGTCAGTCTGACTATAATTTTTGCACTGCATTTTATTCCCAATTCATCAACTTTAAATTGCTGGGATCTGGAGGTCTGTCCACTTTCTCCACCAGAGGGCGTACTAGATCTCCTGGATCTAGTACGAGAATCTAGAAGGGAAACTCAAACCAGTGATCTGCAAACACACAAACCAAGCTCTGCCTCCGCCAAGCCCTCAGCCTGCCGACAGCCTCTGGACCCTCAAGGTTGCCCCCCTCAGCCGCTAAGCTCTAACTCAGAACAGGTACCGTCCTGCTCACTCACATCCTGCTAATTATCTGGACATCTGCTAACTCCTCTGTCCCCCTCTGCAGTGAACCCGCTCGTGACCAGTCCTGGCTCTGATTAACCCCTGGATCTGTTTATTCTCTGTGCAGCAACATCACCTAATAAACCTTTGAACTTTTCTCCTGCTTCAGTGTGTTCTGCATGTGGGTTAGGCACCTTAAGCCAAACATGACATAAATGTGATTATAGGGCAGCTCCAAATTTATAAATACAGGTTAATATGATTTTATTTTGTATTTATTTTTATTCCTTACTAACTTCCAGGCAAGATATTTATAGTCTTTTTTTTTTATTTGAGAAGGAATGCAAACATTTATAAAAATCAAATGCTCCACTTTTGGACAATCCTCAATACTTTTGAGAGGGGAACTCAATCACACAGCTGACAAAATGCCCAAAGGGGAACACAAGTCAAAGACGGTTGGAAGGACGTACTGTAATTTCTAATGTTGGAATATACAGTAACTTTACCGCTGTAATTGCGATACTACTAAGACAGTAAAGATTTTACAGAATAAGTAGTGCCACGGTTAGAGCTATGCATCGTCATATCATTTCATATTATGCCTCAGTGGCAAATCATCATACTGGGGAATAGTAATGACCCCCATCCATCCATCCATCTTCCTCCGCTTATCCGGGGTCGGGTCGCGGGGGCAGCAGCTTAAGAAGGGAGGCCCAGACTTCCCTCTCCCCAGCCACTTCTTCCAGCTCTTCAGGAGGAACCCCAAGGCGTTCCCAGGCCAGCCGAGAAACATAGTCCTCCAGCGTGTCCTGGGTCTTCCCCGGGGCCTCCCCCCGGTGGGACGTG